GCTTACTAAATTTAGTAATAAAATAACTGAGTTTATAATTTGCTTCTTTATTTTTCACTTTATTATTCTACTTTTTATTGTATTTTACAAAAGTATTGGCTCATGATGGATTTGAAATGATATAATTTTTTTGAAACTGGTCCTTCACCACAGATAGTTTGAGGAGTATCATGTAAATAACTTTTCTTGATTCAGAAAGTGTTCAACTTTCCTTCCTCCACATTAGTTTCTGTTTTACCTTGTATATTTCTGTCAGAATGTATGATAACAGGAAAAGAGAGACTTTTTTTTAAATTACAGAAATCTTTAATTCCCTACATAGCCATAAAATTATGCCCTCTTAAAACCAAATTAAAGTGCTTCCAAGATTAAAATTTTTGAAAGAGAAATCGTTTAAAAAAGAAAGTTGTTGTCTTTTTAAATCAAAGCTTTGTTTTAGCCCTGGCCGGTTTGGCTCAGTTGTTGGAACATCAGGGCACATACCTCAACTGTGGTTCTATCCCCGGTCAGGGTGTGTATGAGAGGCAGCCGATAGATGTTTCTCTCTCACATTGATGTTTCTCTCTGTCTCTCTCCCCATCTTCCTCTCTGTAAATTCAATTAAATAAATAAAATAATTTTTAAAAAAGCTTTGTTTTAGCCAAAATATTAAATTTCTATTAAGTGTTAAGCCACTTTGGCAGGCTGAAACTTCATAATTATGTAAATAACTAAGGAGAATTAACATTTAAAATTATTTCGCCGGGGTGCTTGGCTGATACTGTCTACTGAGTAAGTGCTGGCCTAGTAGGGAATGTCTGAGCCCTTCAGCCCCCAGGCTAATGGGTCATTGCCCTGGATTTCAGTCATCTTGCCTTTAAAATGAAGCTGCCTATCGAATGAAGGGGCCAGACCACTTCTAATATCCTATATGCCTGTGAATTTAATTCCATAATCATTTTAGCTTACTCGTATTTTCTTTTTTTTTAAGTTAATTTTTGGAAATTAAGAATTGCCTTTTATACACTATTTCTTGATAGAATCCTTTCTTGTCAAATAAGATGAAAACTAGGCAGTTCATTACATAAACAGATAGAAATAAAAAAGAACGGCGTTAAAACATTCTATAAAAGTAGAGACGCCCTTGAGCTGCAGGTGTTAGTGTAATGCGGTGAAATTGGGACTTCCGTGGGAACTGCCCGGAGTTCACACGCAAAGGGATTTATTAGAGGCCCTACCCACTTCTCTTTCCCCAGCTGATCAATGACCTTGCACGTTTTCCCTTTCTAATTTTTTAGGTGTAACTCAGATGTTGATCAGGGACCCTTTGCTTTCTAAACAGATATGACTGGCTGGAAACCACAGGCCACATCTTATGCAAAGTCTGAATGTTTTCCCAACATTCCAAAGAATTCCTGGGGATTTCAGTTTTTTGGGCTGGCTCCAAAGCCCTGTTCCTGCTCCATTTGTTTGGGTTCCGTGTCAGGTGTCCTCTCTCCCTCTTGGCCCACTGACTGTTCCCGTGTAGATGTATTCCTCTGCTCTGGGGTGCAGGCCCACATCCTCTCGTTGCTCTCCGTGTCCTCACCTTCCTCCCTTGCGAGCTCCACAGGGCAGTGCAGCTCTGTCCATCCCAGACTCGCGACAGACCCGGCTCTGTCCAGCACGGGCCGCCGAGGCTTCTGACTTTTTTAACGCGACTTATCCTCCTTAGATGACTATTTGGACTTAAGAAAGTATTTTTTTCATGCTGGTAAATCACAAAATTTTCTATTAACCAGGTATGATAATTTGCAGTTCGTGGTAATTTAAACAAGGAGCTAGACCAGGGGGTCTGCAAACTTATTTTGTAAAGGGCCAGATAGAGAACATTTTAAGCTTTGATGGCCGCATGTTGGTCTCTGTCACAGATGTTCAAATCTGCAGTTATAATTCAAAAGCAGCCATGGATAATATTTAAAGAAATGAATGAGTTTATTTTAATAAAACTTTATTTACAAAAACAGACCAAAATGATCTGTGATTAAAATACGTTTAGAAGTATTGCCTATATAAGAATACAGCCCCCTCAAACTCAAATATATATATATTTTGCTTAACCTGTTGCTTTGTGTAAAATGCAAATTAGTTCTAAATATTTATTTAAAAGTAGTACCTCTTGAAGGTAATATCTCATTCCCCTAGTCTGAGTTACTCTAAAAGTAATCACGTTTGGTGACTTAGAAAACAAATTTCTAATGATTTCATTAGTCTAATCTCCAAAAAGTATAGATCTGTGAAATGTCTTGTATATTTTGTTTTGTTAATCTATCCTGAATTTACATATATTATGTAATGCAAAGCAAGAATCTGTACAAGTGCAATAAAATCATGCACAAGGCAAAGGCATTAAAGTGACAGCATATAACGTTATTTTGTGGTAAAGGTGTAAAAAGGATACTGTACCAATTTTTACAGTACTGCTTTGAGATGATTATCTTCAGCCTTTTTGGCCATATATCTACAAAACTTTTTCAGCATGCATTTTCCCAATGTGCATCTCATTTATAAATTATATACTGGAACTACTATCATTAGCTAATATTTCAAGGAACAATATGCTTAGGGTAAGGCTTTTCATTTATCATAGTCTTACATAACCAAGGTAGATAATAGATTTCTGATGATTTTCCTCTGTTTTGGCCAAGCTCTTGTCAGATCTGATTAAATTTGCCATTACTTTTACCTTGTAATGTAGGTGATGGAAAGCATTTACTAGGAGCAGAAGCGTCAGCTCTGTGACTTCCACATTATTTATTTGGGTTCCTTGCATAAATCTTGCTTATTTTAGGATGCTTTCAGTTTAAGGGTACATATTACAATCTGTAAATCGACTTGCCAGGCCCATCACTGTGCTGTTCGGTGCGCTCCAGGCGAATGAATGGGGCCAGGGCAAACCCACCCCTCAGCACTGTGGAAGCCCCTCTCCCCGAGGGCAGCTCCGATACTGTGAGGCAGGGTCCTCTGTGGAGCTGACTGAGGGCACAGTGCCAACACAGAAGTTAAATACCAGCGAAAATGCTTTCTTTTTTAAAGAAAATAAATATAAATGAAGGTTCCAATATTTTCTTCCCACATCACAATGGATTGTCTGTGCATCTTCATAAACCTCCATATTTATGAGACCTAAGTTGATAAAAAATATTATTTTTCTAATTTAAATGTTAATGCTTTATTGTGATTTAGTTTTTATCTTGTTTGTTTTTTGGGTGTCCAGCTGGTCTGTAGGGTAGAAACTGGATAACGTTTCTTTCAACCTTCCACAGTTCTAGCCCTGTTTTGTGAAGTAGGTGAGCATTACATGTACACATGTTTTGCTCTCAAATGGGTTCAAGGAATATTTAGGAATCATTACTTTATTGTCCATCTTGCTGAGGGAGCGTGACTTATACCCTCCCTTTTAGATCATCTTAAATTGTTTGCTTGGGCCCTATTGGCTAATTGCCCTTTATTTATGGCATCTAAATGGATTCACACTATTTATTTAAACTACATTCTTTTTTTTCTTTTTTTATCCTCACCCGAGGACATTTTTTTTTCCCATTTTTTGTACAGATAGAGTGGGAGGGAGAGAGATAAAGAGAGAGAGAGGGAAACATCGATGTGAAAGGCACACATCGAGTGGCTGCCACCCGCACGACCAACCAGGGCCAGGGACAAACTGCAACCGAGGTACATGCCCTTAGTGGGAACCGAACCCGGGTCTCTCCGGACCGCAGGTGGACGCTCCAACCGCTGAGCCAAACTGGCCAGGGCTTAACTACATTCTCTACTTTGCAAAGTTAATTTCTTTTTGCTCTCATTCTACTATCTAATTAGCCATTCGCCTCAACATGTTACTACTCATTCATGGGACATCCTTTTTATTTCATCATTTATGTCCCTGATAAAAGCATTAATTTTGAGAGTTTGAATTATCCACTACCTGGGGGGCACTTATATATACTTGCATGATAAAATAGATTGGACAGTGCAGGCCTGTGTGGATTAGGGTGGACAAAGGTGAGTTCTTGGTTCGTGAAGGCTGGTGGGAGTGTGGTTCTGAGGCCTTTCATTGCTTCACTGATGACACATTGATAAGATGTTCATAAAGGAGCCTCATTAACTGCTCCCAAGGATGTCCTTGGAGATAAAGAAAAATGTCCAACAGCCATTTCCTTTCCTAGAGAATCTATATCATTCACTTGAGTGAACAGAAGAGTGTCTTCAATCCTGGCTATAAAATTACTGAGGCCAGTTAGACTCTCTGGGGTGGGACCAGGCATCTGTATTTTTAAGCGCTCCCCACGTGATTTTATTGCACAACCAAGGTAGAGGTATAGTTCAAGAGGCTAACACCTGATTAGGTCAACAGAAGGAAAATAAAAAGTAGGAGGCTGAGTAAAGGTGGAGGAATTCAATAGTAGATAAGAAACCACCCCATTGTAACATGGAAAAACAATTTTGCAGCTTCAAGTTGAGGTAGTAACAGACATCCTCTTTGCTTGACTGCTTATTGATCACAAAGTGAGGGTTAAGATGTTGGCTGAGATACAGATTCATAAATTGATCCAAGAATGTCTGAAGGGCTTTGAGGCCCTTGGAAGAGAGAGACTTATTGACAAGCACCTCTAACCTCAGATTATCTTTGGGGGCCTTTTGGCCGATGGATATTTTACCCAGATGTGCACACTTGCATGTGCATGTTCTCATTTGGCCAAAAATACCTGATACCTTATAAGGAAACCTTACACTTAGAAGCTTTATTTGGTTTTGAAGATGTGCCAGGGCTCTTGGCCTAACGAGGAAATGTACAGTGACTGTTTTAATCTGTGCCACTCCTGATCTTCATCACATACTGCTTTGCTTGTCACAGAAGAATATCCATCCAAAGCCAGCCTGTGAGGGCAGGGAGGCTTCCCAGGGTCTGGTGAAACATCTTACACCCAATGAATATTGACTGAGCACTGTCAGTGACCCTGAAAACTCTGCTTTGGTTATAGGAAGCAGTGCAAGTATTGATCAAGCACTCGGCTGATGTCAATGCGAGGGACAAGAACTGGCAGACCCCCCTCCATGTAGCAGCAGCCAATAAGGCTGTCAAGTGTGCAGAAGTGATCATTCCCCTGCTGAGCAGCGTCAATGTCTCCGACCGAGGGGGCCGCACAGCCCTGCACCATGCTGCTCTGAATGGCCATGTGGAGGTGGGTGTCCTCATCACTGGGAACAAGAATGCTCCCTACAGACTCTACTAGCCCAAGTGGAACCTAATATTACTGCTGACCTTTTACAGAATGCGATGATAATATTTGTACATGAAACCGTAGGCAATTATGTCCATTTTTAAATGTAGAGCCACAGTGAATTGAAAAAGTAGCCATCACCACAGTCATTTTCTCAGAGTACACATGCCACAGGGTTGGCTGTGACGTCATCTTCCTGCTTTGTTTGAACTCCAAATCTTTGACCTGCCTTGACATTAATTTGGCTCAGATCACCTGCAGGGGGTGAGGAGCTCCCATCATTACACTGTGTACACTTGATTTCGTTATCTTTCAGATGGTCAATTTACTCTTGGCCAAAGGGGCAAACATCAATGCATTTGACAAGAAGGACCGGCGGGCTCTGCACTGGGCAGCATATATGGGTAAGAACTTTATGAATGGAAAGCAAAGTGCATATAATGTTCATTAAAGAAGCCATGGGTCTCCCATTGACCATATACATTCTTTCTTGGGCAAGTCTGACCTCTTTTGAAACTTGGGATTCAGTTGGATTAATATTTGGTCCATTTTACTGACGTGCATCGAACACTCTAATTGGGCAGCTGCTTTGCCAGATGTATTTCTCCTGCAGGGTGGAGGAGGGGTGAATCACAGCCCGGACCTCACTGAAGATGCTTCAGTCTGGACTGGAAAGCTGCACATCTCGTGCTTATTGGACCTTGTTGTGGAAAAAAGATTGATGTTTATAAAGAAAGAGGGCTGGCTAGCAAAGCAAGGGTATAATTCCATTTGTCTTTTTATTTATCAATATTTCTGAATGAAACAAAAAGGAAGGAAGGTTGGACTGCCCCCTGGCTGCTGTGTAGGTTGAGGTGACCAGAGACACCACGGATTTTCCTGCTTCTCCACTTCCAGCCAAGTTGGGGCTTACAGTCTTGTTTCTGCCAGCTTGGCTGGGGAGCTAGGGGAAGAAACTACATTTCTATATTTTTCCCTTTTCACTTGGGTTGACCCAAATACCACTGACAAATGATAGCCTGTATAGAGTTTATTCTCAGCGTGTCCCGAGGGGAAGTGAAGATCCTCCCTTTGTGTTTCTAATTGGAGAACATCCTGCATTAGAAAAGCAGACAAGATTCTATCAGCACCAAGTTATAAACAGCTTGGAATGTCCATTCACAGGAGGTTGTGTTTATAAATGATGGAAGAGCTGCACAATGGGACACTGTGCAGTCACTACAGTGATGATGTCATTAGTATTTATTAACACAGGAGGATTCTCTGTTGTGTTAACTGAAAACAGATCAGAACACAGTATGAATAATATGATCCCCATTTTTTAAAATATCTATGCAAGGAAAGCAACCTGGGATATATTAGACATTGGAATGTTGATTATCTCCAGGAATTGGTGATTGTGGATGATTTTTGCTTCCTTTTAATACCTTTTGGCTTTTCCTGAATCTTTTCTAACAAGTATACAGGCTTTTTGTCTCATAAAAAAGCAACAACATTAATTTGGGGGAGTAAAAAGAGAGTAGGTGGAAGCGGGGGTGAAATAAACTATGTGTTATAGATGGGTCTAAAGGAATCTTTGGGCTTAAAAAGCAGGAATCTTCAGATTTTATAAGCATTATCATTTAAGGTGATGTGGAGCTAGGAGCCGGCTGAAGCGGGTTGGACGGCTGTGTGGTCCTTGCAGGACCGGAGCCAGCGAGCATTGCCCGTTAGACCTTCGGGCACTCAGAGGACCTGCGGGTTCGAGTTTGTTCTTCACTCTTGTACAGTTAACACATTGTGTCAGACTACTTGACATTTTGTGTGTTATCAGGATTCAAATAGGAAAAAAACATAGTTAACTGTCTTTAGGAAATAAAGGATAAAAATGTAGCACCACTTAAGCTTAAGATAGTAATTGAAAATAACCTTTTCTGTATACAAGTCTTGGGAGAAAAGAGTCAAATTTTAATAAAACAAGCCAAGACCAAACTCTCTGTCTCTCTCAAACACACATCTCTCTCACACACGTACACATACATACACACACATTTCTCTCGCACACATATGCATACACACACATCTCACACACACACACCTCTCTCTCATACACACATACGTATCCACACACACATACACATACATCTCTCACATACACCTCTCTTCACACACACACACATTTCTCTCCCACGTAGACGCTTCTCTCTCTTCACACACACACATTTCAGAGTCAGTACTCATCTTCTACCCTTCAGTTATCAACCATGTTTACAACAATGACCCTAAAGTATCGAACCATCATCAGTCACAAAATAAAAGTCAAACACCTTTATTGTATTATATGTAGTAAGAGAGGGAACAAAGGAAAATATTATAGAAAATATGCCAACAGGAGTTGAAACTAGAAGGGTTTTCTGTTTAGCCAACAATTCACAAGAACACTTTTAAGTTCAGCCATATGAAATTGCCATTCCTGTGGGCCGAACAAACAAACCTCAAATGGTCAAACAGCTGCAGTTTCATATAATTTAAAAATTAATCTGGAGTCATTCTGATTAATTGAAATTTTTTCTTTCATTCGTTTTTCCAAATCAAATTGCCATTGTTGGGCTTTTTAGTGAGGAATGACAATTGGTTTCAAAAGTGTTGCTTTCATTTTAACATAATTTTTAAAGGCTATGGTTCTAACCTATTACAGGACCTTGTTATTTATTTGCAAACAGGCATCTCTTCTATTAGATCTTGAAGAGAAGGCTTACATCTGAATCATCTATTTTTTTCGCTACAGCATTTACATAAAGTCTGACACACAGTAGGTACTCATTAAATATTTGTTGATTATTTCCATGAACCAGCTTTTTATAAATAGCTCAGCAAAATACTGGTGGCAGTAAGAGCTAATAGTGATCATTTAGGTGGAATGAATCATCAGATTGTCCCATAAAGGTTAACGATGTTTTCTGCTGCTTGCTTTGTAAAGGCCACTTGGATGTCGTGGCATTGCTCATTAACCACGGCGCAGAAGTGACATGTAAGGATAAGAAGGGCTACACCCCCCTGCACGCTGCAGCCTCCAACGGACAGATCAATGTTGTCAAACATCTCCTGAATCTGGGGGTGGAGGTGAGCTACAATTCATGCATCACACCACGGTGTCTTTGGGGTCTTTCTGTTGTTCTAAAGTGAAATCCTGTGTATTTGTGGGTTTTCTTTTGTTCTGAAATTAAATCCTATTTGCATTTTTTTTTTAATTTTATTGATTGATGAGAGAGAGAGAGAGAAACATTGAGACATTGATTTATTGTTCCACTCATTTATCTATTCATTGGTTGATTCTTGTATGTGCCCTGACTGGGGATCAAACCCACACTTTGGCATATCGGGACAATGTTCTAACCAACTGAGCTACTCAACCAGGGCTAAATCTTGTTTGCATTGTAATTCAAGAGGAAAACTACCCTTCTTTCTAGTACCCTATGTTTGAGTTTCAATGAGCTACTGATGGAGGGTGATGGGAGACATCTAATTACTGGGGAACCTGCAACAGACTTTCTATATCACAATAGATTGTGAAATATATATACATATATGTATTATAAAAACATATTAACCAGTCATTTTTTAAAGACTGGCTTGGATTCTTTACCCCACCTTCGGAATTTCGCTTTCTAAATTGTGGCTTGCAAGCAGAAATGAGTGAATGAACGGCAGGGACAAGCAGCAGCAAGTGTCCAGCGCTGAGCTGGAGAAGTCAGCCCAAGCCCTTCAAGTAGCAGAACAGGAGCAGTGACAAGTCTCTGGAACATCCCCGTCTCTGGAGAAAAGGAAAACCAAGTTGCATTACTGAGACCATAATGGTGAAACCCAGCAGTTGGGGCAGCAAGAAAGAGCCATGGACTAAATTCCCAGACGGCTGCCTGGTCCTGCCGTAGAGCGCGGCTGCCCCGTGACGTGTCAGCCCGCAGAGCCCGACGTGCGTGGCTCCGGAGCCCAGCTTCTCGGCTGAGACTGCACAGCACCTCCCTGCGCATCTCCCACTCCTTCAGCTTCATGGTCCCTGTTGAGTTTCACGCTTTTCTCTCTCCTGATTCAGTCCTCTGGCATTTCCAGACAACTTTGCCTTTCACTTTTTAATTCCTTCCATAGCCCGAAGCTATCTCTCCACAAATTCAAACCTCTAACTCGCCCTTCCTCCCCAGTTCACTCTCCGTCACATTCACGCTCTGCTGATGTTTGCCTCCAGTGACAAGCATTTCCAGGATGACCACGGTGGGGCAGGAGTAAGTGCTGAATAATTACGTTGACAGATGGACGTTTCCTTTCTCTGGCACAGCCATTAGGCTCTTTGTGCAAAATGGGGCAAATGGGCTCCAGTGATTTTAATCACCCTGTTTTGGACTCATTCACAGATCGACGAAATCAATGTCTATGGAAACACGGCACTTCACTTGGCCTGCTACAACGGGCAGGATGCTGTCGTCAACGAGCTGACCGACTACGGTGCTAACGTGAACCAGCCCAACAACAGTGGGTTCACCCCTCTGCATTTTGCTGCTGCCTCCACACACGGTGCTTTGTGTCTTGAGCTGTTAGTAAACAACGGGGCGGATGTTAACATTCAGGTATGATGCTCTCAGTCTCTCTCTCAGTGTTTGAAACCTTTGCATTGAGTCTCTGTTTGAACAAAATCAACTGCTGTAAATTGTGTCGTTTGAATGATTTGTAACTCTGAGGACCTTGACTCCCACATCCCCATCCTGTGTTGGGATGCGATAGAAACTCAGTGGCATTGTTTCTTCAGGAGTGATGGGACCAGCTAGAAGGTCCCAGCCATTTGTTCTTGGTCGCCCAGTGAATGTTCCAGAGCAAATTCTGGATTTCATGGATGTTGATATGGTCTAGATTCTAATACTGAAGTAAACGTTAAGCTGATAGGGCAGAGCTTCTGAGAATCAAAAGTAAGACATGACCTCAGGGCTATTCTCAGACCTGGCATGGCCCTCCAAGGTGTTTCTGAAACGCTTTCCTATAGTAAACCCCGGACAGTGGCTTCAGTGTTTAACATTGACCTGGTCCTAATGGTGAGTCCCTTTTTCAGCAAACTTATGGAGGACTTCCTAGTGCCCTCTGTTTAATACTAAGGGAGTCCTCCAAGATGAGATGATCTCTGCCCTCAAGGAATTTACAATGTGGGAAGGAGATAATGCACTCAGATACTCAAGAGGCAAGAGAAAATGTGATGAGCGGCATGAGAGTAATAAAGCATTATAAACTATAAGGAGCAAGGGTTGACTTGCTTCTTGCTTAGGCATCAAAAATGGAGATTGTGTTTGAGCTGAGACTTGGAAGATTGACATCAGTTGAGATGAAGAGGGATAGAGAGAATTTGAGAGAGGGTATTCTAGATAGAACAGCATGAGGAAAGAGGTTGGGAGTTCTGGATAGGAAAAGCTCTGGATGAACTGTAGGTAACTCGTCAGCTTCTTGTAGCAGATAACCGAGAGGAACTTACACATGCAGTCTTCATGATCCTGGTTACATCACCTGAATGCATTTAGATTATAGCAGAATATCTTCATCTGCACCAAGTGACCCTATGCTCATCCTCAGCCCCCCTCTCCCAAGCACACAGGAATCCTGAAGCAAGGTCCCAGTGTATTCTCCCTCTGCTTTTGAAAATTATTTTTAAGACTTAACTTTAAGAATATTGGATCAGTCTATTTTCATGACCTTCTTTATTCACTGTTAAAATTTTTTAATATTTTTCTTATAATTTCTAATAGTGGGAAAATATGGGACACATTTTTAGAATAGCAGTTTATACTCTTGAGTAGAGTATAAATCATAAGAAAGGAGCCAAGAACAAGCTGAAATGTGAACTGACGAAGGAAGAGGGCTTATCTACTGGCTGAGGACTTTGGGTTTCCATAGCCTGTGAAGACCACTAATCATTGTAGAGGTCATGTGATCAGATCTCAGTGCTAGAAACAGTAACCTGGCTATAGAACAACAGAGACAGAAAATATGAAGGAAAAAATTATATATATGACTACATAAAATTTTAGACATTTATATGATTAAAAAGAAGTAAGTGAATAAAAACCTAAAAACTGTAACATACAATTGAAAGAGGAACAGCTTGGAAGTTTTTCAGCAATATATGGTTAGCAAAGAGTTAATATGTTCAATATATAAAGAACTCATAAAAAATCAATAAGAAAAAGTTTGATACCTACTAGAAAATATGGGCTAAGGCAAATAATAAGAGAGAATACAATATCCATTAAACCTATAAAAAATATTTGGTATCACTAGTAATTAGAAAAATGCAAACTAATACACATATATTTTCCCTTAAGATTGGAAAATATCAAAAAGACTAATAATAGCCAGTGATTTCAATGAAAAAATTAACATACAATGAATAAATATGATTCTTTTTCATTTTAAAAAGTTATATGTGTATGTATGTGTATAGAAAAAGAAAGATATCTGGAATATATACCACTATGCTAGCAACAGTTATGCAGAAAGGCAAAAGTATTACTTGGGTTTTTAGTTTCTTATTTTACATGTTTGTTTTAATCTTCTGATTGTGATGCAATGAACATGTGTTATTTTTATAACCAGAAGAAAAAATATTTTTATTTTTATAAAAAGAAAATTCAGGTAGAATGGCGTGGAGACAGGGCATCTGGAGGATAACTGGAAGTCAAGAAAACTGGTGTAGAGAAGAGGTAATGAGGACAGGGGAATGGGGACAGCTGACAGAGGCTTTGCAGAAAGAAAATCAGTGGGATTTGGTTAAACGAGATGGAAGAGTTGAAGATGAGTGTAAGAATTGAAAAGGGGCTAAGGATGGCAGTACAACGTGGTGGCCGAGTGTTCAGTTCTAGGGCAGACTGCCTAGATTCCAGTCCTAGCCTTGACTTTCAGGAATTGTATAATCATAAACAACCTCTTTGTATGCCTCAATTTGTTTATCTGTAAAATTAGGGAAACAGCAGTACCTTCTTCATGGAACTGTTCGAGGATTAAACAAGTTATCTTACCTAAACTACCTCGAGAGTCTGCCACATGGCCAGCACTCAGTAATGACTTTTGTTATTAAGAAGGGTGTCAGGAGAAAGACTAGGTTAGGAGGTAAAACTGATGAGTTTAGTTTTTTGGAAGTTGATTTTGAGCCTTTTGTACAGCCAGTCTAGGAAAACCAATGTGGAAAATGTAATAATTTAGGGTGGGTAGTGGTAGAGAACAGAAGAAGCTATTTTGATTGCCTCATTCACATAGAGATGATTGGTCATCGAAACTGGGAGAGAAGGATGAGCTCCCAAGGAGAGAGAACATCATAGCATGATTAGAGAAGAAAATGGAGGACTCCAGTAACACTTAATCTTAGAATCAGGAGGAGAAGGAAGAGCCAGATAAAGGGATGATAAAAGAAGAGATAGATGCCTTGGCTGGTATGGAGGGGAGTGTAGTGTCCTTATAAAGGTAGAAAGCAGGTAATAATGAAAAAGTAGAATAGATGAAGAGAATTTCAGAGTTCTCAATCTTGTAAGTAGAGACCATCCAAGGTCCTAAGTGGAGGTAAGATGAAGGTCTTTGGGGGCATTGAAGAGACCAAGGAACTGTACTCCAAGGTTGAGGAAGAGTCATCATGTGAGACTGAAGTCGGAAAGGATGGTGGTGAGAGGCAGGAAGCTAATAGGTGGCCAAACTCTCAATGTCCCTATACTTGTCAACATTGCCACCCTTGTTTCTGAGGGACATCCTTAAAACCTCCAAAGAATGAACAATTATTGTAATTTTTTAAAGTAGCTCTCTTTGTCAACCTCCATTTCATTAATTCTCAGGGTTTTCTATCACCTCTGTAAAACCAACTGATGCTCCTTCTTGCTTCGGCAGCACATGTACTAAAATTGGAGCAATACAGAGATTAGCACGGCCCCTGTGCAAGGATGACACACAAATTCATGAAGCATTCCATAAACAAACAAACAAACAAAAACACTGACTGAGGCTCTCAGTGTGCTTGATCCTGAGGCTTGAAGGCCATTTTTTTCTGATACATCTACCTACTTCTCCCAGTTAACTGATTAGTGGTCAGTTCGAATTGGATAGGGGCTTGAGCTATTTATGGTATACCAGCCTTCTCTTCCCCGTCAAATGGACCTGGAAAGCACTGTTATTTAGATTTAATATTTTACTTTTTTGGGGGGATTGCTAATCATTAGTAGAATATAGGAAATAGCATTTTTAAGACCTGTGACTTGGGTTTATGTGTTCTCAGATCTATGTAAATGGGATTTTAAAATCAAATCTAGCCTTCTCCCTAGTCTCCCTACATCTGCTCTGGCTACATCCTCTTGGTTTCCTAATTCTCAAGCATCCTCCTTTGCTACTCCAGATGGCCTCTGGACACACAGATCATCTAACATTTCCGTAGAGCCGTGCTGTCTGACTCTGGAGGTAGCTTTCTAATGTTCTCTCTCTCTCTACCACATTGCTCCTTGGATTTTGAAAGTGTAGATTGTAAGACAATTTATTTGTTTAGATTTTCTGAAGTTTGAGAAAAATCGCATATTGAAATGTAGCTAATACCCATCCACATGCTCACTTTGTTTTCCTCTGTCCTAAAAAACACTAAAAGCAGTATCTTCACGGGTAATGACAAGATAATTGAAAGAAGAGAAAGGATACGTGTCCTGCATGCATTTTGCAATCCCTCGTTTTGCTTAGATTGACCATGACTTTGACCTTGTAATATTAGTTTATGTGTGATGAAATAATAAAGACATAATACTTCACACAATAATCCATTGAAGGTTCACATGTATTTTGCAAATAGGAAGAACATGAGAAAACATAAAATAATATCTCTTCTCCATTATAGACCACATTGTAATTTCTGTAGCATCTCAAGGCTCGTTTTGGGAGCATTCAAGTAAGTGTTGAATAAGGCACTACACACATAGCCGCACCAGATATGACTTAGATGGATTCAGAAACTACCCTTGCCAGGTTGCCTGCCTCCTGGTCACTAACCTCAGTCTGCCTATGGCGTCGGTTCTTTTCTGTTTGTGGGCCCTTAGATCAGTCAGCCCAAGAGAGGCCGGATTTGAAGCCCAGCATATGTCTGCTGAAGTGGGCCTGCTCCCTTCTTTATATGTATCGGGACCAAATTAATAGAATTCAGGTTGTTTTGCAGAGGTTGAAAGTGAAACTGGAGTAGGCAGTGATAGGGACTTGGCACTTGGGACTTCCGAGGGCATGTGAGAAAAGGAGAGCATGACTGAATGAACCAACTAATAATTTTTGGCCTTTAGGACCATCAAAACATTGGATCATGTATGACCTTTTTGAAAACCAGCATTTTATAGTGCTCTTCCATTGAATTAGAACACCCTTTTGGGGTTCTGACTGTATCTGGACCTCCCCCCCTGACCTTAGCGTTATGCTGTGGAGGCGTTATTGCTCTTTAGTACACCCACTGAGCCATGTGACTCCAGGAGGCAGCGTGCACAGAGAACACAGTGCCTTCGGGTTTCTGGGGAGTAAGAATGTAAGCTTGGGGAAGGCTTTGTGAGATGCTGGAGGATGAGGAAGGAAGGCATTAGGAGTGGAAGAAAAGGATGGATGGATTTCTGGGGAAACTGGTGGTCAAGAAAATGGAAACACTCCATTAGGCCAAGGGATTGAATTCTGCCCTAAAGAATACTGATATTTGCCATAAAATAGTCTTAACGCTCATTAGTTTTTCTTCACAATTGAACTATGAATCACTAAAAGAGCTTCTTGCTTAACTAAATAAATCTTCAAAAATAACGGAATTTTTCAAGTCCTAAATCTGATGGGAAAATGCATCTAGAAATTGGAATAAGACTAGAAATTTAAAATAAAATTGATAAAAAGCAAAGCTGGGGATAAGCAGAGGAGCTGAGCATATCCTCTCCTTCGAGAACGCAAGGAGTATTTTCCTTTTGAAGTTCTCAGAACAGCAGCAGCAATGGCAAGTCCCCCCATGTGAAAAATGTCTTAGGCAGATATGAAACTTATTAGGATCTCTTGTCTCAATCTGAATGTTCTGAGTTCTGACTTATAAGGCTAGATAAAAAGTATTGTCCTTTCAACTTGTATTAGTGTTCAATGGCTTTTTGAAATAATGAGTTCCTTTTGCATCCATACCATATAGACAAAAATGCCCGAAGGGACTGCCATGATATTAGTAATGCTTCCTCCCCCACCCACCCCCACCCCACTCCTGCCACCCGTATCCCTATGAGAAAAAAACAATCAGCAATGGCCTGGACTTGGTGTAGATGAACCCAGGCAAAGATCTGCGAGGGTAAACCTGAAATAAGCATCACCAGTGACCATGAAGGTGCCCTTTGAATTTTACCTGACTTTGGTCATCCTAGTTATTTGTCCCTTTGCCAAAGGCACAGACACTGCAAGGGAGAAGAAGGGTGTGGTGCTTGCTGCCCCTGAAATGGGACCAGCTTTTCAAACTGCTCCCTATAGAAAGCCGTTACTTTGGCTTTGGCTCACTGCTGCAGTTTAGGCAGTGACTACCAGGGTGGGGTTACTCCTTGTAAAGCCTTTAAGCTATTTTCTAGGCAGGGAAAAGTGCTTAGTTAAATATTTATAAAGATATTGTCTAAATACTGAAATATTTATGGCTTTATATATTTAACAAAACGCTAATTAGTTATATCTTCATATTAAATGTAAGAGAAAATATTGGAGCAAAATTTAAAGAAATAGCACCACCTAGGGACAAGTTAATGTCAACTCTGCAATTTCTGTTTTCTCTCTAAGAGTTTCAGTTCTTTAAACTGTCTACGCTTCTGGCATCCAGGACCTAGGCTCTGCAATCAGATAGCTTTCAGGAACTCTCCTCCACTGTGTACTCTTGGTCAGTGATGGCAACATGTCCTCATTACCTTGACTGATGTTTCTTTCGTTTTATTTTAAAATTTTTTTTCTTTATTGATTTTTGAGAGAGAGGAAAGGAGAGGGAGAAAGATAGAGACATCGATGAGAGAGAACATAAATTGATTGCCTCCTGCATGCCCCCCACTGGGGATCGAGCCCACAACCTGGGCATGTGCCCTGACGGGGAATCGAACTGACGACCTCTTGGTGCGTGGGTCGATGCTCAACCGCTGAGCCACACCAGCTGGGTGATTGCTGTTTCTTTCTCTCTAAAAATATCATTTCAGTAAACCAAGTTTACTTCCCTCTTTCTTTCTCAGTCTTTTCTGATTCCGGCTATAATGATATAAGATGGAGAAAAGATCTTATTATTTCTTTTTTTGTCATCTAAGTGAGAACCTTTCACTATAAAGAGTGTTTTTTCAAACAAGATGCAGTTGCCGCTCTGACTCACCCTTCCCTTGGCACGGACTGTGCACAACTCCTTTCTCCCTTTCTAAGGAGTGGACTTTTATAACAAAACGTCTCTGTTAAAACTCTGTGGTTTCATGAGCTATTCTAGCCCACAGTCTAGAGCTACGGATAGGGTTCCCTTTACCCCGGTTCTGATCAGTAGGCCTGGGTTTGGCCGAAGAACTCATATTTATTACAAGAAACCCTGGCGATTAGGTGCAGGTAGTCCTTGGTTCACTCTGAGAAACACTTCTTGAAATAATAATTTGTTTTCCACTGTAGAATTTTTTAAACAAAGAGCCATTTTAAAACACAAGTATATGGGTTTGCATCACAAAAATGAACTTGCATTTTAGAAACCACATATTTTAACCTCAGTCTTAAGAAAACTGTTTCTCCTGAGAGTTAGAATAATAACGACATAGGTTTTTGTTTATTTTTCTTACAATAGTTGAGTGAAAAAATGCATTCTCTCTATCGAGGATACCTTTGGTCTAAAATAATAGTCATATTTTGGGGGGTTATTACTATTTTAAGAGGAAATTATGTGGATGACTACTTCTTAATTAAATGTGTAGGACTTCATTATTTGCTGTAATGATGATCGGTATATAGATTCTATACATTTTTTATGTTTTGGCTTAATCTGTGTAGGGAAATTCCATCACTTATACCTTGAATAATAAAGAGATGTATAAATTCAGTACACATTTCCAGGTGGTCATTAAAATGGCAACATGCTAAACAGTTGCATGCCTTGATCCTGTGATTTCTGATGGGTTCTGGGAAGCAGCCTTCTCTTTTGCAACAATCAGAAGTGTTGTTTTCCTCTGGGATTAGAAGGTAGTCCCCTACCTTCTAACCTGAAGGATCCGAGGTTAGTTTTGAGAGTTGCAGTGATTTACAGCGGCATGGTCACTGTCAGGTCAAACAGGGCGAAGCAAGTTAACACATCATTCGTCTTTTTTCATGTACTATAGACAAAAGTTGAAAAAAGAAAAATCCTTGGAGGAAACTTCCTTCATCAGTAGGTTACAGGAAATGAAAACAAGTTTTGGACGATTTTTTTCAGTTTGAAATGGTGATTTAAAAACAGTCAGTATAGCTACAAATTTTGCATTTCTTCTCTAAAATATTCACTCCCCTAGGCTTCTTTACAATGTGATGTTATGTAGTAACTTGAGATATAATATATACTTTATCTTTTGCTTTCAAAATGATCTTTTGCCTCTTGTAAATGTTTGATTATATTTTTAAAAATGTGTTAAATTGATGTCTTCAGGACATTGCCAGCAGTATCCATAGGGATGTTTCCGATTGAGGTCCCTGGTCCATTATTTCTCTCTCCCTTATCTTTTAGAGTAAAGATGGCAAAAGTCCACTGCACATGACAGCTGTCCACGGAAGGTTCACACGGTCACAGACCCTCATTCAGAATGGTGAGCGACTCTTCTGTCATTATTTGAACAGTTTTCTGGTCTGATGAGTTTGGCTGTCAGTCCTCTGAATGTGAAAGATGACGCTGTTTTAGTTTATTAAACTCGGATTTGCAGTTTTCTTCGATACGCTTTCCTAAAGGCTCTTAATCATACGAGACATCACCATCCAGCTTAAGAGGGACCATGTAAAGTCCACTCTCAGTCAGTCAAAGAACACGTGAGTTTTGAAACTAGAAATGATATGCATACCTACATAGGCTCAAGATCCTGCACTTTTTACTCAGAAACTGATAAAAGTAAGTATTGTACATTTCCTAGCAGGAAATCTAAATTATTTTGACATTTTAGAATTCACCATAGTTCCCTAAGGTAAAACTCATTGGGCTGCTTGGGTAAAGGTAGGAAAAAATGAGGTGACTCAGAAGAAAAGCAGGTAAGTGTGTGATATAAAGAATCATAGCAGTCACATGCTTGATAGAGACCTTGCAGAGTTGTGTAACCTGGTAATCTTCCAGGCTTACGACAACAGTGTGCTTGAACCAACGGGCTGACTGGGGAGCATCCCTCACGTCATGGGCCCTGGCCAGAGCCTGTGAGTGCCTGACCTTGACAGCACAAGTCTGTTTCCTTAGCAAATCTTAGAGACAGTTGTGGGGGGCGGGGGGTTAAAAAAGGTTTAGCCCAGATTTCTGATGACATTCCAGGTGAATTCAGCAGTTCCTAAACTATTTTTAGTTGACCCACTTTTCTGCTTCTTGAAATTCTGGCATCAGTCAATTTTGGGGGGACCTATTTTTCTCTCGTCTGTAAGAATTTTAGATGATATGCTCTTGAATTATTAGTGGCACTGATTTATATCTGAGGCACTCAGGTCATAAAACCAAATAGTCATCTGACATTTGGATAGAAGACCAATCAGGGAAACTATGCTTAGAAAGCAAAATATCTGCAGCAAAGCAAAGGGAATGTGTAAGCATTTCAGTGACGCTGCAAGGGAGAGGAAGCTCCCAGTGTGCCAAGGAAGGTAAAATGAAAATTAACTGCACAACACTCATTCTTTCTCATTTGAAATGTGTGGTGTGCCTTTGGCATTCGCTTCATTGAAAGGGCCATTTTAATTGTGTTATTTTACTGGCTGTGAGCAAGGGGAGGTGGCAGTGACCTGAACGTGTCACTTTGGCTCAGTTTCCTTACCCCACTGTATCTCTCAGTTTCTGTATTTTTCAGAAACAGTGTCCCCCACCTTAAAAATAAACAAAACTAGAAGGATATTTGGTATCTGTATTTTTTTTTAATTAATGCGAATTTAATCAATGGGCCTTGGCTTTATGGCATAAAAAGCTTTGTTCCCTGTTAAAGCAATTTCAAGCACCAGTGACCAGACCAGGGAGAGAGCAGTTTCACCTTGTAAGCACCGCCTTCCTGCAGGTCCATCCTGTGGCCACACCGTATTGGCCGCCTCCTCTGAAGCGGGGCGGGACCCATCTGCCCTCTGTTATGCTAGTCCGCCCAGCAGGGGCGGGGCTGCTTTGACCTCTCCAAAAGCCATCCCTGTGCGTGAAGACTTCCATGCCCTCTCTGGACATTCTTGCTAGACTTTTGAGTTGGAACAAGACCCAAAAGTGATCCTGTCTCTTGTCCTCTGTGACCAAGGAGCTTTGTTTCAGAGCCTGTCTCATTCTTGGCTAGCCAGACATCTTGCTTGTTTGTTGGATGGGGTCCAGAGGTCTCAGATGATGGGGATATATGTCATTAGAAAGCTAACATTGGTTGAGTGTTCACACTGTATCCGGCACTTGGCCGAGCACTCCACATAAATCCTTTCAACCACCCCATAGGAAAGAGGGACTATTATATCACCATTTCAAAGATGGGGAAACTGAGGCAAAGAGGGGGTGACTTTTGTTGGGATATATGGCAGGTAGTTTAAGGCACAGAGATTGGAACTGGGCAGTCTAACATCAGAGACTGAATTTTAACCACTATACTTATGTGTTTTCTGGGTAAACAATGACATATTTTTTTAAATTTTAAACTTAAATTGTATTTACTCCAAGAGTCCGTTATATTTGGAATAGAGTTATCCCTGTAAAAGGATGATCTCCCATTCTCTTCTCAGCTGAGAATTCTTTGCATTCATTACACATATGAGAACTGCGAGTTCTTCCATTTGACATTTATAAAACACCGTTAGGGAGAAGAATAGGAAGCTCTTTTCTTTCCTCCTGTTTGTTGGCTTCCTTCTGGGAAAAATACAGAGATTTACACTGCAGGGCCTGGTGTCCATCTCCAGGGCGGGTCACTGCAAACAGGACCCAAAATGCTGGCCCCATGTGGGGACAACCGTTAGCTCCCTGAACCAGTGAACAAGTTATTGAGGAACAGTCTTTGTATTTGTTTGTTTTAAGTCACTCTGGTAGGTGGACTTCGTATGACATTTCTTTGCTTCTGCGACTGCTCTCTAGTCAGGGTTGTTAGTTCTTCATAATAACTTGTTTTTTCCCAGAATTATTCAGCTTTGGTAAGACAGTCATTAAAAAACACACACATGCCCTGGCTGGTTTGGCTCAGTGGTTTGAGCATCAGCCTGTGGTCCGGAGAGACCCAGGTTTGGTTCCCGCTAAGGGCACGTACCTTGGTTGCAGTTTGTCCCCAGCCCTGGTTGGGTCGTGCGGGTGGCAGCCACTCGTGTCCCTTTCACATTGATGTTTCTCTCTCTCTCTCTCTCTCTCTCTCCTTCACTCTCCCTCCCACTCTATCTGAACAAAAAATGGAAAAAATGTCCGTAGGTGAGGATAAAAAACAAAACAAAACACACACACAACCCTCTTTACTTTTTTAGTTAGTTAGCAAGACTGCCTTTGCTGTTCAGTCATACTGTTGTCTGAAGCCGGAGAGGGAAAGAACTAAACAGAGACAATATGGTACCAGGAGGCCTGAGATCCAGCCATTTGTACTAGGCAGCTGCTCAGATGCTGTTCAGTAGGTTAGAAAAGTTCAAAAATGATGTCTTCTTCAAGAAGCTTTATAAATAAATGGAGTTTAAAAAGGAAGAGTCAAGTGATAGGTTAGGATGATGTCACTGTGAGATTTTTGACCTTTTGGCTCAAAAGTTCTTCTGAGGCAACTTAGTGAGATGAGCATTCTTGCTTGTGCGATGAGAAACTAATTTCAGATGAACGCTTAGACCATGCTGCATAAATGATCCCTCTGACATGCTGTGCATACTTCTAAACTCACAATGTTTCTTTTCCTCACTAGTGAGCAAGGACAGGTTACCAATATTTAACTTACAACCTTTAAGTGAATAGTAAAGGTATTTAATTTGCATTCCAAGAAAATCTTAAAGATTTGCAGGTAAAAATGGAAAGGTTTGGGTAACTGTAAAATGGAAATTAATTCATCTAGAGTCCTATTTTAATATAAAACATTTCTGAATAATACATACACATTTTTATCATTTACTTTTCCACTAAGTTATGTTTTCTTGAAATGTATTATATTTTATTTATTTTTTAACTATTTTTTTTATGACTTTTTAGAGAGACAGGAAGGGGGAGAGAGAGAAAAACATCCATAGGCTGCCTCCTGCATGCCCCCTACTGGGGATCAACCTACAACCCGGGCATGTGCCCAGACTGGGAATCAAACCGGAACCTCTCAGTTCATGGGATGACGCTCAGTCCACTGAGCAACACCTACAAGGCTATTTTTGAAATGTATTTTAAATGACAATAAAAACATGTTTAGAAGTTATCTATACTTTTACAGTTTTAAATGGATTCAATAAGATTCAATAAATGATAGTACATCCAGAAGAAACTCAGCCTCTTTTTTCCACCCTTTTCAATATTTTTCACTCTTTTTTTCCTCTACCCAATAGTTAGCATATTTGAGGCTGGTAAATATGGCAGCCCTAACATTTGTAAAGAAAGGTTTGGTGGCTCTTGGCCATGAAGGACCTGGTGTGGTTTAGCGTGTATTCAGTGTAGAGGCTTCTGTGAAGTAAGGGGATCTACCTCCCACATCTCCCTGGATCAGCTCCATGAGTAGACATTTCCGGCCGATCACTGTAGGCAGTTCCTAGACAAGTACATGTACCAGGATTGCTCTGAGGTATACATGGAGACCAGGTAATTCTCATAGTGAATCCATGTCCTCACAGTTACATCACATCATAAAAATGATTGATGTAATTTGGATGCTTCTAAATTTGGATCATAGTGAACAATCTGTTGGGTCCCTAGAAGATCATAACATTTTATTTTATTATTTTTCTTGATTATAAAATTAGTACATGCTCACTGTCAAATGAAATTAAATTATTAAAGAGATTGCCCATGAGCCAAGCTGGTGTGGCTCAGTGGTTGAGCGTCTACCCAAGCACCAAGAGGTTGCTGGTTTGATTCCCAATCAGGGCACATGCCCAGGTTATGGGCCTGATCCTCAGTGGGGGGCATGCAGGAGGCTGCCAATCAATGTTCTTTTTCATTGATGCTTTATTTCTCTCTCCCTCTCCCTTCCTCTCTCTCTAAAATTAATAAAGAAAAAGTTAATAAAGAGAGTGCCCACGATATTCAATGTGTCACCCCAACTCCATCCCAAGAATTTCTAGTGACAATTTGGTGAAACTTTCATATTTTTCTATGTATTTAAGAATGTATATATACATAATATAAAGATATATGATTATTACTTTTACTTTTACAGAAATGATTACAGTCTATTTATATGAGCAACTGGTTTTTTAAAATAGCTACTTACCACAGAAATATTTGAGGAAAGACCAGCATTTGTAATCAAGTCGCCATTTATATTTCTGTGTCACAAAGTAAAAAAGGGATTGTAAACAGCTATTAAGTTGCAAACCCTAAGTGTGCAAATTTATTGGCAGTAAGATTGATTTTTCAACTTAAACTCTACATGCAGAAGTCTTGACTGTAAAGCATCTTTTTTTCTTTTTTTTCCACATTTATTTTTTATTGTTGAAAGTATTACAG